CTCTTTACTCCATCTCGTAGTTCTTTTACTTGCTTTCATTATCTTGAGTCAGAATAAACCCACATTCTGCCTTCCTTTGTAGTTGGAGAAACGGTGTGAATTTTCTTTTTGGCTCATATTGTCGGGTTTTTTTGTTTTTTTGCACACTTAAGGTCTTATATCTACCCTGTATAGTTCAATATTTGAAATTCAAGTTTTACCATTTACAATATTACAAAACTTCATCTCTGTGCAATGCTTCCTATTGAATCTTAAAGGCAAACAACTTTCATCCCAAACAAAATGTTCAGGGGCATTAGCTAGTAAACCTACTTGTGCTCACCAGAGGCTGAATTCCTGGGCACATGGTGTTCAAGCGGTGTCCAGAAGCACCAACGGTTTAGAGATCAGACACAGCAAAGGATCCACAGATCGAGATAGGCCTGAGAGGTGGGCACAAACAGCAACTGTACTAAAAATATTTATTATATCAAAACACGTAAATACATCAGAAAATCAATATTAAATGAGTAATTTGAAATGTACAATTACAGAGGGTATATGCATATGAAAAGAGAGAACTTGAATAAAAAGCACGACCCAAATGCTCCAGGGAGTTCCTTTGTGCATCAAGTGCCAGTCCGGGACTGCCCAGGGGCTCCATGACCTTGGCGTTCCTCGGGCAACTGCGAACTTCTGCCTAAATACGGTGTCAACTTGTGGCTCACTCTTGGGGCGTATCTTCTCTCCCTTTTTGTTTGTATCCTTTCGTCTTACAGCACTAGGATAAGCGGAGCATCTCTTTATGGTCCAACAACAGAGCCCGGGAAGAGCAGTGCAAGCAAGGTTGTCGGGAGGGGATGGGGAGGTGCTCTGCTCTGCTGTGAAGGTATTCCTAGAGTTCCTCTCCTACGCGATGAGAGAAGAGACGTCTTGCCGTTCGCCCTTTGGTCCTTCATGGCTGCTGCTGTCTACCTGGCCTGGCTAGTTGCTTCCTCCGGTACCTCTAGCACCTGGAACGGGAAACACAGATCAAGTACCAAGTCATACACGACAATTTAGTAATACCTGAGTGGGGAATGTTTATACTATGATTGCATAAACAGGAACGGATCAATAAATCCAAAACGCTATAACAATAAGAAAAACACCTTGGAATATGTAGGTTTCTTACAGTTCCTCGATGTCTATCTAAAGACGATCTGAATGCCACAGCTGTAGGCTGTGCCCTCCATCCCTATTCTCTCCCGTTTAGCTTATCAAACTTGATTTTGATGAGGTTGAACAGATGAGATACCCCTGGTGCCAAGGACACACGTCAGTGCAGGTTACTCAGCAGGCTCCAGAGATGACTCTGGCTCCTTCAGCTCTTTTGATGCACGGCCTGCCTTTCCTGCTTTGTGTGGAAGTGCACTCAACTCGCCAGGTGAGGGACCTGTGTCTCACTCATCCAAGAGAAGACACGAGCCACGAGTTCCAATCGCCGTCCCGTTTGGCCGAAGAGGAGAGAGGAGCACTGGACACCCGGCTTGGCATCGCTTCACACGCCTCCGTCGCAAGCACGAGCAAGCACATGTGTCATCAGAGGGATTTGTTACCCAGCGAAACGCACCCTCCGGAAGCAGTCACGAAGCCAGGTTGTCATGCGGACAACAACAACTTTTCTACCTTCTATTCGTTTCCTAGACAAAGGGGGCCAAGCTCCTTTGCACCCTCCCCCACCCCCTTTACTGGCACCGTGCCAACTTATACAAAACGACAGTAAAAAACTTCTGGCTGTGTTAGGGTGTTGCGGACTCTCTTTATTCTCTCTTTCTCCCCCCCCCCCTCTTTCTTCTATCTCAGCGGGAAATCCGAGGCCGCGGCAGCTTAACCTGTGTTTGACCTTACTTCTTGTGCTCTAAAAGAGGGCGGCATCCACTTCCCTCTCTCTCAGTCAGATATCAAAAAAAGAAAAAAAGGCAAACACGCACGCAAAAACAGGTATGCAAAGGGCAAGCATTCCAAAGGCAACAGGCAAGCAATGTATGCAAAGGGTAGGCAGACAGGCAAGCAATGTATGCAAAGGGTAGGCAGACAGGCAAGCAATGTATGCAAAGGGTAGGCAGACAGGCAAAGCAATGTATGCAAAGGGCAGGCAGACAGGCAAGCAATGTATGCAAAGGTAGGCAGACAGGCAAGCAATGTATGCAAAGGCAGACAGGCAAGCAATGTATGCAAAGGGTAGGCAGACAGGCAAGCAATGTATGCAAAGCAGGCAGGCAAGCAATGTATGCAAAGGGTAGGCAACAGGCAAGCAATGTATGCAAAGGGTAGGCAGACAGGCAAGCAATGTATGCAGGGGTAGGCAGACAGGCAAGCAATGTATGCAAAGGGTAGGCAGACAGGCAAGCAATGTATGCAAAGGGTAGGCAGACAGGCAAGCAATGTATGCAAAGGGTAGGCAGACAGGCAAGCAATGTATGCAAAGGCAGGCAGACAGGCAAGCAATGTATGCAAAGGTAGGCAGTGGCAAAGGGCAGGCAAACAGGCAAGCAATGTATGCAAAGGGCAGGCAAACAGGCAAGCAATGAATGCAAAGGGTAGGCAGCAGGCAAGCAATGTATGCAAAGGGTAGGCAGGCAGGCAAGCAATGTATGCAAAGGGCAGGCAGGTAAGCAATGTATGCAAAGGGCAGGCAGGCAAGCAATGTATGCAAAGGGCAGGCAGACAGGCAAGCATTCAATGTATGAAAAAGGCAGGCAGGCAAGCAATGTATGCAAAGGCAGGCAGGCAGGCAAGCAATGTATGCAAAAGGCAGGCAGACAGGCAAGCATTCAATGTATGCAAAGGCAGGCAGGCAAGCAATGTAAGCAAAGGGTAGGCAGACAGGCAAGCAATGTATGCAAAGGGCAGGCAGGCAAGCAATGTATGCAAAGGGCAGGCAGGCAAGCAGAAATGTATGCAAAGGGCAGGCAGGCAAGCACGCATGTATGGCAAATCACAGGCAACCACACATGCAATTAGTGCATGCAAATCACAGGCAACCACACACGCAATCAGTGCATGCAAATCACAGCAAACACGCAATCAGTGGCAATCAAGGCAACCACACACGCAATCAGTGCATGCAATCACAGGCAACCACACAGCAATCAGTGCATGCAAATCACAGGCAACCACACACGCAATCAGTGCATGCAAATCACAGGCAACACACATGCAATCAGTGCATGCAAATCACAGGCAACCACACATGCACAGCAATCACAGGCAACCACACATGCAATCAGTGCATGCAAATCACAGGCAACGCAATCAGTGCATGCAAATCACAGGCAACACACACGCAATCAGTGCATGCAAATCACAGGCAACCAACACACAGCACAGCAACAACTCACAGGCAACCACACATGCAATCAGTGCATGCAAATCACAGGCAACCACACACGCAATCAGTGCATGCAAATCACAGGCAACCACACATGCAATCAGTGCATGCAAATCACAGGCAACCACACACGCATCAGTGCATGCAACTCACAGGCAACCACACACGCAATCAGTGCGTGCAACTCACAGTGCAATCAGTGCATGCAATCACAGGCAACCACACACGCACATGCAATCACAGGCATGCAACAGTGCATGCAATCACAGGCAACCACACATGCAATCAGTGCATGCAAATCACAGGCAACCACACACGCAATCAGTGCATGCAAACACAGGCAACCACACACGCAATCAGTGCATGCAAATCACAGGCAACCACACACGCAATCAGTGCATGCAAATCACAGGCAACCACACGCAATCAGTGCATGCAAATCACAGGCAACCACACACGCAATCAGTGCATGCAACTCACAGGCAACCACACATGCAATCAGTGCATGCAACTCACAGGCAACCACACACGCAATCAGTGCATGCAAATCACAGGCAACCACACACGCAATCAGTGCATGCAAATCACAGGCAACCACACACACAAATCAGTGCATGCAATCACAGGCAACCACACAGCAATCAGTGCATGCAAATCACAAACCACACCACGCAATCAGTGCATGCAAATCACAGGCAACCACACATGCAATCAGTGCATGCAAATCAAGTCAGTGCATGCAAATCACAGCAGGCAACCACACACGCAATCAGTGCATGCAAATCACATGCAATCAGCATGCAAATCACAGGAACCACACACGCAATCAGTGCATGCAAATCACAGCAACCACAATCAATCACAGCAACCATCGCATGCAATCAGTCACAGCACAGGCAATCACGCAACAAATCACACACCACACATGCAATCAGTGCATGCAAATCACAGGCAACCACACACGCAATCAGTGCCAAATCACAGGCAACACACACGCAATCGGCCATCTACCCGGAGATGCAGGTGAACAATCGTTTGTGCAAATATCAAACTACCTTGGCACCATGAAAACATGAATGGCCTTGGGATCAAAGACGCTTAGTGAAAACACAGGAAACCGTTTTATATCCTAGACGAGGAGACCCTCTGAACACAGGCTGACAACCAACCAAGGCAGCATCAGTCTCGAGCAGACGTTCGTGAAAATCCGTTGCCACGATGTAACTTGCGCTCGCATTGCACCGTTTGAACGACCCTATTGGCCTATTTATTTATTATTTACCATATTGCCCTATTTAATTACCCAAGGCCCTCTTAATTACCCTCCTGAACCGCACGAGGCCCTCTTAATTACCCTCCTGAACCGCACGAGGCCCTCTTAATTACCCTAATTGAAACAGTCACACTTCTGACCTGTGGGAATCCAGGAGCTCGCAGCCCTGCCAACCCCGTCACCTCGCAGCGTGGGACACAAGCGGCGCCACAGAGCACAGGCGGGAGAGGCTGGGGCTCGAAGGGATCAGAGGCTGCAAGACTATGCAGAAAGGAACCGTAGATAGGCCAGAGAGAGAGAGAGAGAGAGAGAGAGAGAGAGAGAAGAAGAGAAAAAAAAGAAAGAAAGAAAGAAAGAAAGAAAGAAAGAAAGAAAGAAAGAAAGAAAGAAAGAAAGAAAGAAAGAAAGAAAGAAAGAAAGAAAGAAAGAGAAACCATAGATCTCGATAGGCCAGAGAGATGGACGGACACAAACAGCAATTTACAAAAGTAAATAATTAAAGACTTAGGAAACTATGTACATGCATAACATTACCAAAGAAAACGAATCAAACCGCCGACCCAGTGGCTCCACGAGAGGTTCCTGCGCTGCGACCGCCGGCCCAGGACTGTCCAAGCCGGAGCGCCTCGCGTCCCCCCCCTCGCCCGGGCGGACGCCGAACGAGCGAACTGCCTTTAGATGCGGCGTCAACCACCGGTTCACTCGGTCGCGGTCCATCTTCCCTTCGTCCTTGTCGACGATTCCCTTTCAGTCGACTATTTCATTTAGATTTTCCCTTGCGGCATTGCGGTGGGCGGAGCAGCGGCGTCCCTTTTGGGCTGACAACAAATACACGGAATGACAGGGCAAGGAGGAGAAGAGTAGGAGGAAGAAGAGTAAGAGAAGGAGGAAGAGGAAGGAAGGAGGAGAAGTAGGAGAGGAGGAAGAAGAGTAAGAGAAGGAGGAAGAGAAAGAGCAGTATGAGTGACCAAATGGGGAGAAGGTGCCATGCTCTGCTGCTCTTTCCTCGCGGACCTAAAAACGTACCACATTCTTCTGTGAACCATGGGCATGCGCTCTCTTTCCTGCTCTCTCGATTAGACTTTTATTAAAGGAGTCAAAGGGTTGAACATTCCGTCCGACTTGGACGAGGCCCGCCATCTATTGGCACTGATAGCGTTCGTTTTCCCTTTTTTTATCCTCCTTCCGGTAGATCTTCCTGGAATGTCGCCGGATCCTGCAAGAATTCACCCTAGTCATGTCTAAAGCATAGATACGGTCCTCAGATCGATCAGTGGAGGCGCTATATTGCAGACAAAACTCGTGTAGCGTAATGGAAAGAGAATCGTGCTTTACCAAAAAAAAAGATAAAAATCTTGAAGAGGTTG